AGAAAAAAATGTTCTAAGGAGGATGAATTCTTAAAGAATTAAATGAACAGGAGTATAAAAGCAAAAATTTGGAAAAGAAAATTAAGCATTATCGAAAATAGGGTAGAGGACTTACTCATCGACATGGTTGGGTGGGAAACTAATCGGCGAGGGAAACAATGACAGTGGTCGGCGACAAGATCACAACAAGAAAGCCAGAAACTTTGGCAAGAGTATATAACGAGAAAATTGCAGCCGAGGTGGAACGGAAAAAATGAAGCAAATGAAGGTAGTTATAGGGAAAGGAGGAGTTTGAGCAGGTCGACATGCGTGAGCAATCCGATGAAGGTCAAGATGAACATACATGATTGAAAATCAAAGTAGGTGAAGAGGTGATCGAGCAGGACCGTCCAATGGACGGGTAAAATTTAAAGTGGAAGTTGAAGTAATAGGTCGAGCAGAACCATCCGATGCAGATATCCATAAAGGACGTTCAAGTGAAAAGTCGATCGGGACTGTCCAATAAAACTAAAATTGGATGGATGGGATAGAAGCAACATTAATGAACGTGTCGCTTATGTCAATTTGAAAGAGTGTCAGGTGATTTGAAAGAAAATTTGTTGATTTGAAAAGGTGTCAGGAGTTCGAATTTGAATTTTGAAATTAGGATAATGTCTGTAGGTCGAGTTGGTCGTCTTAACTATAGGTACGGGGAAAACAACTTGAGGGAAAAAGCATTTCATGGTTAGATTAATTGTAAAACCCCGGTATCTTACTAGTATCATAGTAATTTTTCCGCACACTTATTTCGAAAACACATATAAATTTGCCAAATCATTTTCTCGGGATGCTACTGAAAACTTGTCTGTTCTGAAAATCAGTTTTCTTTAAACTTGGTCTAACTACTGGTTTGGACATAAGAAAACAGATTATTAACTTTAATCGAACATGCATGAAAACAGAACCACGACCATACTAGCGAATCGGGTAAAATTTGAAAATCTGAACATATTGGCATGCAAGTTCGAAACTGAAATACATCAGCGGAAATATAAAGGCATGATAATAATATACAGACTGATGTATATAAAAAGTCCCACAAAAATGGCAAACTGGCCAAATCCACGACCACAACCACCACAGCTGATCTCACACCTTCTTGTCGACCCTGTTGTCTGAAAAAGATAAAGTAGTGGGGCGTGAGCACGACAGTCAACTGTGCTCTGCAGAAATCCATACTAAAGTAAACAGCAATAATAATAACAATATCATGATTGTCAGGATATATATAAACTGAACTGAACTGTAACTGAAAATGTAATTGTAACTGAAATCTCCCGTCAATCTAGGCCGGTAACCATGTGCACACTCTGATGGAATATTAAGGCAAACTGGGCCGCCATCAGAACTTATGATGGAATATTAAGGCAAACTGGGCCACTAAATATACATACCTCGGACATGATATCAGAAATTATAGTCAATGTAATACCCAGTCTGGGTCCCTACCGTTACTGGAATGTAAGTGTTGTGTTGGATAGTTGTCTCCTCAAGCTACATAAAAAGATAAGCAAATAATATACTAAGTGATATGCTCAGAATACTCAATAATATCCTAAGATGCTCAATTCTAACTGCTCTCTTATCCGGACTAAATGGAACACTATAAAGGTTCACTAAATTTATACTCAGTCCGGAAATAATAGACATAATTTAAATAGAACTGATTTGGCTCGGGAAAATACTAAAAATTTCAGAATAAAACTCAGACCGAAACAAGCGAACCAAAAATGACTCGGATCGCCGGTCGAACTGGCCAGTTCGCTGACTGGCCGGACCGCCGGCTCGCTGGCCACTGGCACTGGCACGGCACGGCGCTGGGCACGGTTGCGCGCGGGCGCTGGGCACGGGATGCATGCGTGCGTGTACTGTCGAGCCGGGCCAGTGACAGCTGAGCTTTCTCCGACTGATCTCACCGGACTCCACTGATATTTTCCGGCCAAAACACATACTAAAAGGATGCTTATGGAGGGATAATCACTTTAGTTCAGGTATTCTTACTCAAAGTCTCAAACAACTAGGTGAATTAAATTAACCCCTCAAAACTCCATGTTTTTTAACAAATCATACAAAACTCTAAAAATTATGAAACTTAGCAGTCAAATACTTCACTTAGACATGCATTTCTAGTTAAAATTTCAGCTCAATATCATGCCATTTGCTCGGTCAACCATTTACCTCAAATTTATACATAAACATGCATTTGACCCACATATATTCTAGGATTTTTATAAAATCCCATACTTAACATAAGAAGTTGAAACTTGGTCATATTGATCATAACTCATGTAAGACATACTCATAAAATTTTCACATTAAAAGCTTGAGTATGGACTGAGTTCTCTTGCAACAAACTTCAACTTGACATGTTTGCGGTCTTGCGCTTATAAATGACTCATTTCTCATCATAAAATTCTGACATTTAGCATGCATGTTCTCGACATATATGTAGACATGTCATAAAAATTTCATATTTTTATCATGCATATATATTGACTTATACGAGTTCAAAGCTGTTGCTGAAACATAGCATATAAAAATCAATTTGCATGCTTAATGCATGCCTACGTTGCAACTCATGACATTATCTATGATCTTAGGTGTCCTCGGCACCTCTTCATTATTTGCACGGACTTGACTTCTCAAAGTAGGATGGAAATTAATTTCTACCGAGATAACCACTTAGGCTTCTATTAAACTTAATACTTAGGCTCGGATATTGAAGTTGGCCGCGACTTTTAAATTGATTGCAAAGCAATTTCTTGAACCGAGCATACTAATTCTACAATCCAAATTAATGGATTGATCTTGACTAAGATTAATGAAGAAAATTTCTAAGAAAATACCATAACAACTCGGTTAGGGTTTGATTAATATTCGACATACTCGAACCGAACTTGTTCGGTTCCGATCGCGACTCGACTTTGACGATTTCCCGAAATATTCTCGACTTCGATTATCTCATCGACTTGAAATAATTAATCCCGACTAATGTCCACTTATAAAAATAAACATATTGGAATTAATTATCGAAATTGACTCGGTTACTAATAAAATTAAACCGAATCAGTTTTCAATTTAAGGTCGAACTTATAACTGAATAACTTTATAACTGGGCTCGGAAACTAAAAGCGAGCGATATTAGTATAAGGAAATAGCTTAAACTCGGAAGCTAATATTTTTCCTTTATTAATAAAAGACGGTGCGTTACATAAATAGTTAAAGGTACCTATAGTTCTACTCTTAGATCCAGTTATCTTAACTCAACCAGAAAGGAGATGACCAGATGATATGGTATAACATACCAAATGTTAGGTCATGTACAACCTGAGACTAGCTCGAGTGGTTCAAAGTGGACTGGTAGTACGACCAATGGTCAGACAACAAGAATATTCGAGGTCGAGAGACTACCAAGTCAGTGGTAACTTCCGAGGTAAAGTTGTTCAACAACAGGTTGAGCTAAAGCTCTCGGACAGTATGATGAAAATTCGACATGGAAATGGATAGGCCGGTGAGGATCTAAAAACGAGACTTACTCATTGAAGAGCATAACGACCAAGTTTAAGAGGAATTGAGATGATAACACGATTATGCTTAAAGCATACCTAATGAGGTAGGCTAATGTGATCACACAAGATAATAGATGAGTACAAATATCATTATGATAAGAAGGACAAGTGGTTAAGGACACATGTGTAACATAATTGGGCAATTTAGGCATCCGAACAATGTGATCGGGTAGTACGGGCACTTGGAGAGCAAGATCGAGCATGTTATGAGTCACAAGGTAATACCTCTATAAAAATTAAGGGGTGAGGTATGGCACTGTCTCTCTACAAAATCTGAATATTTTAGACTCATATACATATATAAAGTTCATCTTCATCCCTATTTACTGACTTGAACGTCAAAGATTCTACGTCGGGACAACCTCCGGTGCTGTTTTGCAGGTCATTTCACCGTATTACGGACGGATCATACACGTCAGACCGGGTTAAGGTTGTTTTACACTACTAGTAACTAAGTCTTTGGGACTTATCAAAATTTCTAAATATATTTAATGAGTGTAAACTTTTGGTTTTTTTTTTTTTTTCATTGAATTATCCGATCTTATAGCTTTAGTGTATTATTAGAACTTCCATTCGCAGTGTAACTCATCCACATGTAAGCGGTATTTGCTAAAAGCAATAATCTGAAACATCATCGCTCTTGTTCATATCACAAATAAATCCGAATCAAACATTAAGTGAATTATGTGAGTAGGAAACATTTATCAGTTTGTTTCATTAATTAGCATATTCTGTCAATGTTATATAACTTTGGGCGCATGTTAGAATTGTAAGGAAACAATTGTTCGGGAAAATAATTTATTATTTGGTTCCTCTTTTCTATATATCTATGGAAGGATTTAATATGGTTTTGATGACATAAGAGTTCAATTTGACATCAAATATTCATCATATTGCAGCACGCCAACACTCAACTGCCCGAAGACGCTACGTCAATAAATCAATGGACCGTAAATTAACGGAGATCAAATACAAAAACCAACGCCATGGAAAATATCTTGCCCAAAGTCTCGTGTAATGTTTTGGACTTCCTAGGTAGTTCCTACCAACATTTCAAGAGTTGAGAACAACAATTATTTTCGCCCGACTCAAAAACCGAAAAAGTGAAGAAAAGAAAAGGCCTTGAACCAAAATAGTACCGACTTACTTATGAGTTCTATACTATAGTCTATACCACTAGTTGAGCTGGTCGTAAACAAAAATACCCAAAAATAAATAAATAAACAAAAGGGTAGCGCTTGACCCAAAACACTTTCTCACACTCTATATTTGTGTATATTCCTATACGTCATGTATAATTTCTCAAAAAAAAAATCTATTTTACAAAGTGGATCACAAAATAAATAAATAAAAGCAATTATTAAAAGTGGGACCCAATTTTTTTTCCTTGAATTACCAATGCTGGTCGTCCACGTGGTGGTCCTCCTGTGGCAGCATGGAAGTTTGCGGGAAAGGCAGTGGGAACGGCGGCGGAGGGTCAGCGGGCACAAATGGCAAATTGGGCGAAGGGTATATATTATTAGTGTAGGGAGGCATAATTGGGGCCTGTTGCTGCTGGTGGTGGTGTTTGGGCAGATTAAGCTTCTCGCCCTCAATCTCACGGTACTTTGTGAGGTAAAGTTTGAGGGGATTGACGTAATCCTCGAAGCCTAGTGTCATGATGGCCCACAGAATATCGTCCCCATTGATAGTCTTCCTCTTTTCACGTTGGCACTTGTCTGAGGCCTCTCCCGTGACAAAGCTTATGAATTCGGACACGCATTCCTGCACTGTCTCCTTGGCGTCCTTGGAGATTTTCCCGTTTCCCGGGATAACCTTTTTCATTATGCGGCCCACATTGGCTATTGGGAGGAACCGCTCCTGCTCTTTATTGTTATTCCAGCATCTGCTTTCTCCTCTCGATCTTGATCTATTGTTGTCATCTTCGATTTTGTCATCTCGCTCTCTTTTCATGTTTCTTTTATTTCCTATCTTTTTTTAATTGTTGTTTATTTGGCTTTTTAATTTTACTGGTTATGAGATGGGGCGTGGCGATTGAGGCATGGGAATAGGCAGATAAATAGGAAGGCATGCAGCTTGTCAGCTGATTTCTAACAAAGAGTCCCCGGGACTCGCTCCCTAGTCCAAACACCCAAATTCCAAAAGATTTTATTTTATTTTATTTTATTTATTTATTTATTTTTGGTCGTTTGTAAAGAGAATGTCCAAGACAGCTACACTCTATAGAACATTAGGAAAAAACTAGTTGTTGTTACCGTTAAATTTCATTACAAAATTAGACCACATTAATTAACAGCAGAGATATTGATGATTCTAGTGCCAATGCGATAATTAAGCCAAATGAAATATCAACCATGTAGAATATTTGCTACTTGTACCTTTTTGTTTCAGAAATCGATTAAATTATTTTTGAGTGAATGCATATATATGATCCATAATTCGTATATTTTTAAATTTCAAATTATTTTATATGGTTTACTCGATTTTTATATTACTATGTTTATTTACTCAAGCTAAAGAAGTATATTACATATAATACAATTGGGGCAAAATTTAACTAAAATAAGTTGAATATAATTTTTAGATTACTATAATATATGAAAGTCATGGTAAGAAAAAATAACGCATGCAAAATTTTGTGCACAAAACCTTCATTTTTCAGGTTAATTTCTTTTGTTGGAAATTTTTGTTAGTTTAAGCAAAATGGTAAAATATGCCAAGTCATTTAATCTCTCTCTCCTCATCTAGAAAAAAATTCCTAAATTTTAACCTAGCCATCGGATGCCTCTGATCAATTTCAGGCGCCTTCCCTCGGCAGGGCTTTTCGAGTTGTTTGGCTGAGGCGGCCTTGGGTCTCGCGGCCCAATTCTTGGAGGATCGCCGGCTGGAGGAGTTGTTCTTCGCTGGTAAAAGTGGAGGCCGACCCCTGAGTAGTCTTCATCGTGGTACAGGTGCTAGGAAGGGGTGCCAGACGACTGCTTTCCTGGTGTTTCCATTGTGGCGTGCCTCTGGTGTTTCTTTGGATTTGGGTTGTAGTTCCATTATCGGGCTGGAGGGTCCACTTTCTTCCACCGTGCTCCTCTCCTTTTTGGTGGTGGGAGGAGGGGCCAACGGGCGATGTCGGAACGAGGTCCGGGTTACAGTAATCTGGGGCTGGTTGTTGGTGTCGATTTTGAGTGGTTTGCGGTGTGGGTCTCCGGGCTCAGACTAGGGTGTCCGTCTGGATTTGGGTTGGGTCCATAGGTATCAAACCTAGTTAGGTGTTCTGTTATAGTTTCTGGGTCGGGTTCCAGGGCTATGGCTCGGCCCGTGTGGATAGAGGTCCGTTCGAGTCGCTGTTGAGTAGCTTGGTGTGGTTTGCCCGCTATGGGAAGGGTTGTTTAGTTATTTTTTAGTTGTGCTTTTTTTGTTGTGTGTGTGTTTTTCTTTAGGTTTAGGTTGTGTTTTGTTTCTTTCTCTTCCGTTTGGAGTATGTTTCGTGTATTATCCACTCGTGGGAGTTTTTGTTTTTAGTCTCCTGTTGGGAGTTTTTTGTGTTTTGTGCTGTTCTTAGGTTGGTTCTAGGCTACTGTTGGTGTAGTTCTCGCAACTAGATTCAGCGGGATAGCTGCTTTATTCGGATGTGTGACTGTTATAATCAGATGTGGGGTTGTGATCTACTATTGTTTGTTTTGTGTTTTTATATAAAACCTCGATCGTTTCGGAAAAAAAAAATAACAACTTTGTCGATTAATTTTTGCTATTATAGAAAATGACCACTAACTAATAAAAACCAAAAATAGCTTGCCCAAAAATTTTAATAAAAAAAAAAAAATGGCAAAAACTACCCAGTGACTAATCGCGAAAAATAGCAAAAACAAAATGTCCACTAACTCAGATTTCGGGCACAATAATCAAAATTGATTATTTAGTGGATTTTTTTTACAAATCGGAAAAATTTTGTGCATGATACACAATTATAGTGGCATAATATCCATACACTTTTTTCGTTTGTTCTAATTTTAACTATAGTTATTGCATGAATTATAAATATATATTAAAGTTTTTAACAGAATCTTTTTTTTTTTAATTTGAATACTGTCTTTATTTTTTTGTGCATCATTACGAATTATATCATACACAATCTCATTTGACACACTATCTCAATGATTTTACTAGCAGAGCTGGTCCTACATATTATTAGGCCTGGGCTTAATATAAAAATAATGCCCCAAAAATTTATGTTTTTTTTTTCTTTAAGAAATAAAATAATACATTTTAAATCCAACATTCTTTTTATAAAATAAATTTACAATTTATAAAATCTATGATGAAAGGCAATGGATACATATGTTGATATCCGGATCGGGCCCCCATAAAAGTAACGAATCGAGGGACCGGGAGCCGGTCGAGATCGGTCCGGCAAGTGGGGCCGGTTACCGTGTCAAAGTGCAGGTGCCGAGGTGAGTACGCGTCAAAGTCAACCGGAACGGCGGACACTGTCACGCCCCGAGGTCGGCGCCCCAGTGCTCTCGTCATGGAGCCGGCCAGCTCGGATAGGGGATCTGAAAAACCAGAGGACGGGCAGGCTATCATAGTCCGACTTGGGATCCCACCAGGTCGGCCCCCCGTAGGGGTTAGGGGCATAGGAAATAATTAAATAAGGCCACTTGTCAACCAATGATTGCCGATGGGACACCCAAGACTAGCCTACAGGTCTAGAACGTCTAGCCCGGCCAGGGAACGTGTCCGCATTAAATACTGCCCATACCAGCATTAAATGTGTTGCAGGCAATGATTAGAAGATCCTTAAATCACTCCTAATCAGTCAGAGAAACGCCGGCCTGTCTTGCTGAGTTACTGTACGACAAGACCCCATGAACAGTACCCGAACAGTATCACATTTAAGAGCCCTATAAATAGAAGTTCCAAGCATTTATTTTGAGTTGTTGAATCCCAACTGTCTTAACCCTCTCTATACTTTCTCTCTCTAGACTTGTAAGGAATTTGTGCAAGAATTTGTAAGGATATCGCAAGTGCCGACCTCGTGATCAGTCAATAAAATCATAATTAAACCGTATTCCTTGTGTCTTTTCCCGTTACTTTTTCACTATTTATCTTTTTTAACCGTTGACCAGAAACGCCCGTCAACAGTTTGGCGCTAGAGGAAGGACACCATAAGTTACTTGGTGTCAATTTTTCGATCTTGTGGAACTCCACTTTGAACAACTTTTCTTTCCAACTCGTCTCCAAAACACTCGAAATGGTTTCATCAGATCACAACGAGTCCACTCAACAGTCCGGCGCCCAGTCGCGTCGGCGCAACGGCGGGGAGACCTCTCGCCGCGCCCAGCAGGGGCCCATAGTCACGGTCCCACCAGTTCCTACCTTCGCTGCGGCCATGCAGCACCCCGACGTCCTCAAAGCCCTTGAAGGGGTCTTCGCGAAGGCGCTTGCCAGCCAGGCGGCCGGGGGAAACACCGTGGCGCCCACGGAAAATCCCGGCAATACCCTGCTCCATACCCCTGAAAAGAACGCCGGGGGGCAGAAGAACCTGGCGAAGTCCAAAACCACGGCTCAATCACCGAACCGTGAGGCCCAAAATCGATGCGACAAGAGTACAAGACCGGCTCCTACCGAATAGAGGGGGGAGAGCCGTCCGGAGCAAAGCCTCCAGATCGTCCGCCGCTCCGTTCACCAACGCCTGGGTGACAAGAGCCAAGCCAACCGCGACCTCCGGGAAGTGATCAGGCGAGGCAAAGCTATAGGGCGCGACACTAATGAAGTCGCGGCCCTCAAACGCAGAATCGCCGAACTGGAAGGCCGGCACCCCTCCAGGAGTGAGCTGTCGCTCCCTGCCTATCCAAGATCTTGCGCACGACCCGCTCCCCGAGTCGTGGACAACGCTTCACCTCTTTCCCCCGACATCTTGCAGGAAGCCGTCCCGAAGAAAATACAAGTACCCCAGCTCGGCCTCTATGATGGGAGCTCGGACCCCGATTCCCACATTGGCCTCTACACCTCGTGGATGGACCTGCACGGCGCCTCTGACGCCCTACGCTGTCGCATGTTCTCTTTGACGCTGGGGCCGAAGGCGCAGAGGTGGTATCACTCTCTTTACCCCCATTCCATCTCCACCTGGGCGCAGCTCAGGTCGGCATTCCGGTCACATTTTATCGGATCGCAGGTTAACTTCGCCCCCAAAGAATCCATCTCCAATATTGTTCAGGGCGAGAACGAGAGCCTGAAGGACTACATCGCTCGGTTCAACGACCGAGTCCAAAACATGGAGCGATGCCACCTTGACGCCCTGCTGATCACTGCTCAGGGTGGTTTGAGACCGAAAATGCTGTTTAGATGGTCCCAGTGCCAAAACAAGCCCACCACTTACCAGGAGTTCCTTTCCCGAGCTCAGGACTACATCATGGCGAAGGAATCCTCGTCAATCCCAACCTTCGACGTCGCGCAGGCCAAGGGCAAGGCCAAGGAAGAAAAGCCAGGGAAGCCGAGCAAGTCATTTGCCGAGATCCGAGCTCAGCAAAGGCAAAAAGCGGAGGAGCTGAAGGAGAGTTACTAGAGCGTGTTCTCCGTGGGTGTCGCCGCAATCTACGAAGAGATTAAGGCAAAAGGACTATTGCTGGATCCGAAGCCGATGTTCACCGAAAAAGACAAGGTGGACAAGACCCGCTATTGCACCTACCACAAGGCGCATGGGCACAATACCGACCAGTGCCGAAATTTGATCTCGGCACTGCTCAAGCTGATCGACGATCCACAGATGAAGAGATTCACCCACTCCGGGGAGAAGAGAAAGAAGGGGGCACGTTTTGAGGAAGGCCTCGACAGTGACGACGATGCCGACGTGAACTCCAGGAGAAAGAAACCCCCGCAGGGCGGCCCCCATGAAATCATGACCTTCTATCCTGCCCACCAAGACGAGGCCGGCACCTCAAGGGGCAGGAAGAGAGACCGGT